AGTATAAGGGAAATTATCTCCAAAGATTAATCAATCTTTAAGCAAATTCTCATTGGTCATGAGAGAAATGTATTGAGAACAGTTTGGAGAACATGCATATTGATATTCAGGATTGAGAGATTACAATGAACAAATGATCTTTTTAATCTACTATAATATACTTTAAATAATATTATTATATGTCCAGAGGATATAAACAAGCAAGACTACTCCACAGAATTCACAGTCACTCATTCAAGCCTGATTCATTTCTAATTTTTGTACATGTACCCTCTTAACATTAATGGACATGTAATAATGCAATATTAGCCTGTGAACCAAACATTTCTGGCTATCACTTTCAGTGGAGACAAGTGACAGCTGAGAAAAACATCTAGTTCACTGTGTAATGCATTATTTGAGAAAAATAAAAAAAAAGATGGCTAGCAACAAACTGGAAGTGGTGAAGGAATGAAATATAGGTTGGTTATTTAACACACTGGCTAGCCTGAGAAAACAGCTGACATTTTACGATATGATGCCACTGGTTTCACTACTAAATGACATCTGAGGAACAAGCCCAGAAATTCTATGTACTGATGACACATCACTACCCGCCATCAGTTCTCACGTGTGCTGGTGTCTTGAACTGTAGGCTATTTTGTCAGGCTACACGATGGCATGTCACTCATTTTGTCTTAATGAAAGTATGATTCACATGCCTGAAATAACGTATGCACAGGCGTGTAGCGATGAATGCAAGTACAAATAATAATATAAGAAAATGAAATAATGCATGTAGTGTTTTAACCATGAAACAGCTGTCAACTTTATGACTGTAAATAAATACCAACAAAATGAAGCTTCAGAACAAGCAAAAAATAATTCTTAAGCTATGGGTAAAAGGGATAACAAAAACATGCAACTTGTTTTGCAACATTTCTGCAGAACATGTTGAAAAGCAATGTTGCACGTTTTACCACCCACATTCAAACCTGTCTGGTAACAAATAAGGTTGTTGAAAGTTGTTTGAATTCTAACTTCTGATTGGAGAAAATTATGCGGGAGTCATGCCATACATGGGAGTTACATCACTTGCTGCAAAACAAGTTTGCCTTGGGCTGTAAAACATGCAACATGTATAGATTTTGTCGCAAAAAAAAAGAACTACTCTCTACTTTCTGTAACCCTGCAACAACCTGATTTGTTGCAAGATAGGTTTGAATGTGGGTGGTATATCAACACATCAGTTTTCGACTTGTTTTGCACCAATGTTTCAAAACAAGATGTGCACTTTTGCTGCCAGTTTTACCATCCCTTACTGTAGTTTGCACAACAGGTTTCACGTCTAGTTCCAGAAAACATCCTAACCAGCCCATGAAGGGTCTTTCAAGGTTTCAGTGGGGTTGGCAGGGGGTCCTAAAGGCCAAAATTTTTTTAAGTCAAACTAAATTGGAGTTTTCAGAGGGGTGGGGAGGGTGAAAAAAACCTTCATGAGAAAGTATGAGTATTTTCTGGAATGATACAATCTGAGTTTGAGTGACAATATTAACATCCACCCATCAAATCTCTCCCCCACCCCCTATTTCTGGAATGTAGATTGTGTAGTGACTAATCACAAAGGACACAAGCTTGTGGTTGTATTAGTTATTACTGATTAATTATTAATTAACCTTATAAACAACTGTCTAACAACCCTGATCAATTTTTCTTTGCAAACAAAAGTATTCCAAAAATATTTTTGGTGCTCATGGTTTTCTGAGTTTCCCAGTGAAAGTAACTAAATCTCTAACTGAAAAGACCTACCATGAACTGCTCAGAAAAATACCTTGCCCAGTCTAAAATATCATTCATCATAATCCATGTGCCTGAAAAATCTGAAGACTGACATTCCAAACTGTCATAACCATCCCAAATACTCCTGAAGGACAGCCTGTTCAGCTCATTTGAACACCGATAGGCTGGATAAATGGTTAACAGCCAATATGTGATAGTGCTAGGATTCTAATTAAGACTTCACACCGCAACGACATGCACCAGTTTATGGTTTTAGTATTGATATAAAATTATTGACGTTAAAATCAATAGAGCGCTGTAAAGTGATATGTTATGAATAGTTTTATAAAATTCTTCAAATAATATCAACAGCAATTTGATTCAATAACCAAAAAAAGTTGATTCACATCGATAGCTCCAATTTCACTATGAAATTCTGGCTTGATAAGCAATGAAGAAATGCATGCATAAAATCAAGAACATATGCCTTTTCAAACCTCTACAATTTATTCCTGTCCTTGACAGATGAGCCAATCTGCTTTTTGACCTTTTTTCCAGTAAAACCTGGGCACAGGTGGAATTGACTGATGCATAACATAATAAATTTATTAGTCTTTGGATACTAAGTATTTTTTAAATAGAATTTAAGTGCACCAGTAGGATGAGATTTTGTAAATATTGTTAACAATTTTTCATGAAGCAGTGGTAGTTAACTCTTAACATAAGCCAATAAAGGATATTTCAAATTAAAGTTAAATTCCTTTGTAACCTGGAAGAAGTATTATTTTAAAACAGTGAAAGGTTTGAACCCAGGAGTCATTTCATAAGTAGGTGGAATATGATGGAATATGTAGTCCTGAATAGGACTGTTGTTGACAGTGATGGACGTAGTGACAACCTGTGTCACGTCATCTCCATAGACAAGATGGAGACCCCATGTCGAATTTCAAGATAAAGCCATTGAAAGCACTGTCAACTACAAAATACTCCCCCTTCCCCCCAAAACACAATGTTGAAGTCTGGCTGGATCATTTCTGATTCCGACTAAACAACTTTGACCACTTTGACTTTGGGGGTGAGAAAGTGCAAAATTCTTAGCACTTTTTGTCCAAGATGGTAGCTAAAAGAGAACAGAAATAAATCTCAGAAAACCAAAATACAGCTTTAAGACCTTTTATTGAATTTTTAACCTTAATTTACAAGAATTCATTTACCCTACACTAGAAAACCGTAGGAATGGACAATTTCTCTGGCTAAATTATATTTTAGGCATTTCTAGCATTTACAATACTATAACCTTGAAGATCTCCAGCTAAGTTTATTTACAAGTTTAAAATAGGAGATCTGCTGAAAAAATAGATTACTGTCAACAGCAAAATTTTTCAACCTGCCTATTTCAATAATGATTTGAATTGTAATTCAATTTTAATGTGATGTATACAAATATTGATAAAAATAGAATTTTTGAATGAAAACCAGTCCCACTGAATTAGCAACCCTTCAAGCCATGGGTCATCAGCATCTTATTAGTTTTTTAATCAAACATACAGGTTGTGAGTATAAGGGAAATTATCTCCAAAGATTAATCAATCTTTAAGCAAATTCTCATTGGTCATGAGAGAAATGTATTGAGAACAGTTTGGAGAACATGCATATTGATATTCAGGATTGAGAGATTACAATGAACAAATGATCTTTTTAATCTACTATAATATACTTTAAATAATATTATTATATGTCCAGAGGATATAAACAAGCAAGACTACTCCACAGAATTCACAGTCACTCATTCAAGCCTGATTCATTTCTAATTTTTGTACATGTACCCTCTTAACATTAATGGACATGTAATAATGCAATATTAGCCTGTGAACCGAACATTTCTGGCTATCACTTTCAGTGGAGACAAGTGACAGCTGAGAAAAACATCTAGTTCACTGTGTAATGCATTATTTGAGAAAAATAAAAAAAAAAGATGGCTAGCAACAAACTGGAAGTGGTGAAGGAATGAAATATAGGTTGGTTATTTAACACACTGGCTAGCCTGAGAAAACAGCTGACATTTTACGATATGATGCCACTGGTTTCACTACTAAATGACATTTGAGGAACAAGCCCAGAAATTCTATGTACTGATGACACATCACTACCCGCCATCAGTTCTCACGTGTGCTGGTGTCTTGAACTGTAGGCTATTTTGTCAGGCTACACGATGGCATGTCACTCATTTTGTCTTAATGAGAGTATGATTCACATGCCTGAAATAACGTATGCACAGGCATGTAGCGATGAATGCAAGTACAAATAATAATATAAGAAAATGAAATAATGCATGTAGTGTTTTAACCATGAAACAGCTGTCAACTTTACGACTGTAAATAAATACCAACAAAATGAAGCTTCAGAACAAGCAAAAAATAATTCTTAAGCTATGGGTAAAAGGGGCAACAAAAACATGCAATTTGTTTTGGAACATTTCTGAAGAACATGTTGAAAAGCAATGTTGCGCGTTTTACCACCCACATTCAAACCTGTCTGGTAACAAATAAGGTTGTTGAAAGTTGCGTGAATTCTAACTTCTGATTGGAGAAAATTATGCGGGAGTCATGCCATACATGGGAGTTACATCACTTGCTGCAAAACAAGTTTGCCTTGGGCTGTAAAACATGCAACATGTACAGGTTTTGTCGCAAAAAAAAAGAACTACTCTCTACTTTCTGTAACCCTGCAACAACCTGATTTGTTGCAAGATAGGTTTGAATGTGGGTGGTATATCAACACATCAGTTTTCGACTTGTTTTGCACCAATGTTTCAAAACAAGATGTGCACTTTTGCTGCCAGTTTTACCATCCCTTACTGTAGTTTGCACAACAGGTTTCACGTCTAGTTCCAGAAAACATCCTAACCAGCCCATGAAGGGTCTTTCAAGGTTTCAGTGGGGTTGGCAGGGGGTCCTAAAGGCCAAAATTTTTTTAAGTCAAACTAAATTGGAGTTTTCAGAGGGGTGGGGAGGGTGAAAAAAACCTTCATGAGAAAGTATGAGTATTTTCTGGAATGATACAATCTGAGTTTGAGTGACAATATTAACACCCACCCATCAAATCTCTCCCCCACCCCCTATTTCTGGAATGTAGATTGTGTAGTGACTAATCACAAAGGACACAAGCTTGTGGTTGTATTAGTTATTACTGATTAATTATTAATTAACATTATAAACAACTGTCTAACAACCCTGATCAATTTTTCTTTGCAAACAAAAGTATTCCAAAAATATTTTTGGTGCTCATGGTTTTCTGAGTTTCCCAGTGAAAGTAACTAAATCTCTAACTGAAAAGACCTACCATGAACTGCTCAGAAAAATACCTTGCCCAGTCTAAAATATCATTCATCATAATCCATGTGCCTGAAAAATCTGAAGACTGACATTCCAAACTGTCATAACCATCCCAAATACTCCTGAAGGACAGCCTGTTCAGCTCATTTGAACACCGATAGGCTGGATAAATGGTTAACAGCCAATCACATGCCAGTAAGTTTATGTTGGTGTTGAATATTTTCTTTCTACTGGAGTGGCAATGGGGCTCATCTTTGGTGATGGTCGTCTTGACATGCTTTTTGTATTGTGTCTGTGCCGCCATTTTCTAAAAATCCCCCCTCTGTGAAATGTTGAACTATGCAGGTCTTCTGAGATTGTCCGATCAGAATCCTGCAAGAAAATGACAATAACACAATTTGCATTCCTGAAGACAGTTTGGTCATAGGATTTAACTGTGCCAAGTTTGTAGTCAGGTGATTTCAAGCTGAGACCTCACACAATTGCTGCATCTATATAGTCTATTGTAATACTGTTTTAAACAGAGACTTGCCCTGACAGAAACAAGTGCTCTAGCTTTTAAGACTGGGCAAAAGAAATGGTTTAGCAAAACGCTAAGCACAGCTAATGTAGCCATAAAAAGGTTAAAAGCAAATTAAGTGACCAAATAGCAGTGTCATATCAGACAGAATTCAATAAGTCAGTTAATCACTGTAAACAGAACCTCTTTTCATGATCAGTGGCCACTTGTCCCTTCTCAGAGGGTGGCTTAAACTGTAAAGTATTATAAATTATTTTGGTTAAGTTATTTTATTATAGTAGTAGTTTGATTGAATTAACATTCAATTATTGGCAGCCTCTTAAAGCTAAAATGCCAATTACCGTAGTTCCATAAACAAGACATAAATATCCACTAAGGTGTTCTAAATATCAGCCACAGTAATACAACTTCCTTTTCTCTCCTCCAAGATAATCCATTCACACTCAGCAGAATAAAAGCATACAAACATTTAAAGAGCTTAATCAATGTAACATCAGTATAAGTATAGCTTGTTAATATATTAAATTTTGTTCCTGTTTTTCTATCTGGCCATTAAATTGAGCCCTATACTCACTCCCAATGTGTAGAAGTCGACTCATGCTCACTGTCTCTTTAGATTCAGATTTTCTTCGCTTTCCTTTCTCCCGTTTAGTCTTGCCACCAAATTTTTCAATCTTTCCAGGACCTCCGTTTATTAACTGTTTTGCGTTAAATGATTAGTAAAGAGTTAGCATTATTATACTTAACCTTACTTAAAGATTCATGAGTCTATCAGCATAACATTCGTCTGTTTTAAAAAAGATAATATGGTGAAGCCAATAAATTGATTAAATCCAAGGTTATAGAGTTGGTTAGTTTAACTAAGAAAGGCTCCATCTTGTTGTTATTGTCATGGCCTTGTTTCAACCAATAATAGTCTAGTGAGAAAACAGCTGATATTTTGAGACGCCAACAATTCCACACTGATGATGCAACACTTCCCAGATCTGGGTGGTGCATCTGATTGGCTAAAAATTTTCCTTAACCAATCAGAAGCACTACCCTGATCTGGGTAGTGACATGTCATCAGTATGGGATTTCTGCACTCATTTCTCAGATGTCATTTCATGGGGAAACCAGTGGTGGCAGTGTGAAATGTTGGCTGTTTTCTCAGTGTTTCCGTTTTGTTTAATAAAGCTTGGGAACATACATGTAAAATATACTTACGCAAAGCAAAGGCATGTAGTTAGGATACGAGATTTAATCTCATTTGAACCACATCTTGATGGTAGGGTAGGGATTCTCTAAGGCTAAGCTAACCCCATCCTTCCCCCCCCCCGCTCTCCCAGTCACGATTAGAAATTCAAATCTTTGATATTAAAAGAAAGAAAATTTTAACAGACTTACTCCATCAGTAAAAGCACTGTCTAGAGATGATATACTGCTGCTTTTCTTGAGCTCTGAGGTAAATTCTAGGAAGCCAAAAAAAAAAATTCAAATACTTATATGTCCTTGAAACACAAGGAAATAAGTTTATCTAAAATAAGGTGAGCTATATAATAAACTAGTAGTTGGACAACTGGTAAGAAGGTTAAGAAAGTTGTTGTTACATTTCCATGAAATAGTGTTTTGCAATCTCACAATAATTCAAGTTGACAGCTCCCAAGAAGCTTGGGCTAGCTACCTGTGTGCTTCAATAAGAGTAACAAAATGGGTGCCAAGTTCGCTCCCTCCAGATTTTCCTTTTCTAATCTAAGCAAAATGAGGATATTGTGGACTCCAAGAATTGGAACAAAAAGTCTGTACCTCACTTGTTAAAAATTTCCAGGAGTCACTCATCTCACCAGCACCACCACCACCCTATTAAGCCCCATATGGGGAAATATGGTGCCTAGAAACTAGTAATAACCAAAGGTAGGGGAGTGCAGGCGGGATAGATGGAAACGCTCTTGCTCCAATGCTGTGCTTTGTGAACCATTTGAATGATACAGGGTCTCAATGCATGTGATCAGATTACAAGTGGTAGAAGGTCAAACATACCAGTGTTTTCATTGATGTTTAACAGAGAACTAGACAGTTGTTTGGATCCCAACAGACCAGCTGTACTCAGGGACTCCATTGAACTGGAACTGTCAATCAAACTAATGGTATCAGGAGTAGGCTTCTTTGATTTCTTGGGTAACGTCAAAGATGAACGACTTAGATCTACCCCGGATCTGTTGAATCTTGCACCAAGATGCTTTTGTTTCTCTGTTGCTGTTAAAATCAAGTATATGAGAATTTTTATGACTAGTGAATCAGATGTGCTAATCATCAATTATTATAATCAATCACAGATCAAAATATAATATTATAATACATTGGAATTACAGACTATGAATAACGTTCAATAATATTGATTATGATGCAAAAAATTGTTTTGTTCGCAAATACACATATTAAAAACTTGTGGGTTGAGAGAGAATCTCATCACCCGAAAGCACAGAAAATTTCAAGCTTCAGGCAAGAATCTAACTCATGATCCTCCAAGTTCTACTAAGCTACTGGAAATCTATAGCGAGCAGGGTCAAATCCACTAAGGTCCCTTTTCTGATACACTTTGTATTTGTTTTGTTGTGTTCTAAAACATGTAAAAGCATCCACTCTTCATGGAAAATTTTCTTATAACGAGGTTTTTCTATTATAATAATCCATAATAGACCCGGTGGGTCAGTTTGATTAATTCAAATGATTGATTATGAATTCTCAGCAGATTCCCAACACTGTCACCATAATGCAGTGGTAGACCTGCACGCCAGCCAAAAAAGAGAAAAATTCCAGAAGTCTACAAAATTACTCTAAAGAAAATTGAAAATAAAGAACTCTTCCACTTACTTATTCTGTCACTCTCCATTTCATTTGTCTGAAAGAAAAAATGTTCCACCATAAACATGCTCACATGGGCAAAGAATAACATGGTTCGCACAACTTACGGAGAACAAAATTCAAGGATATTTCAAGGACAAATTACAGTTTTCAAGGACCAGGATTTATTCAATAAATCGGCATTCATTGACCCCATTTTGAACACCTTATCAGCTAAAACACTCAAGGGAGTCATTTAGGATCAGCCATGGTTGATCACATTACTTTACACTACTCTCCGTAACAACACTTTGCAAAATGACTACAGTCACAGGGTATGACTTACAGTTGCACCTTAGGGACAGAAATAGCATTTGGAATTTTTAGAAATAAAATACAGAAATAAAATATTCTGAATGCACTAAAATGTTTTTACACTACACGTGAGATTTGCAGGTTCTTACACCAAGGATGAGCCAAATTTTCTACAGGAAAATAATCTATTTTTACAGAAAATCGCAAAGAAAGTCAGTTTTACAGCTTGCCATTCGGGCAAGCTGTAGCTAGCACGCACTAGCCCAAAAGTCATTTCAACTAGCCTGAAAAATTGATGGGCATTGGTTACAATTCTTCTGTAATTTAAATTCCCCCAAAAAACTTCATTTGCCCATCGGGCAAGTTAAGAATAGAAATCACTAGCCCGGTAGCAAAATCCACTAGTCCCGGGCTATCTGACACCACTTTCTTTGCACGCTGGAAAATGGTGTGGTATAAACAAAGTAGTTAATTTCAAGGACTTGTCAAGATCTAATAAAGAAATCAAGTACTTTTAAAGGACCTTAACTGAAATCAAGGAATTTTCAAGGCGACTAATAAAAATTCAAAACTTTTTCAAGATTGTGCAAACAATGAAGAATTCATGCAACATAAAGTTGAAACAGACAAAAGTATTTTTATTAAACTATTTCTACAACAAATCTAAAACTGTGCAATTCCCCAACGTTTAAAAAATAATACTTAGCACAGTATTTGTTTTTGTTCTGATTGGTTCTTTTGTAGCCTGCATCTATTCTCTTTGGCAAAATCAATATATTAATAATTTCTTCTAAGGTTTAAGTTCTTAGTCTGAAATGTCAGCCATCTCCACCCCCTGTGCACCCATGGGTTAAGGGGTGGAGACGGCTGACATTTCAGACTATTAAGTTTTATGCGGCCCTTAATAATATTGACTAACTAGAAAATTGCTCTGCAGTATTCATGTACACAGTACCTCCTCAATGCAGTCCAGAAGTTCATCGAAGAACACCTTTCTTATTTGTTCATCTCTTGCATTGAAGTGGGCAAGAATCTATAAAAAAATTGCCACTGGTAAAACACTGACGCACAACTGAGTACAACTAGGTTGGAATGATCAATCTCAAGTGAACTTATGTCAACTCAATTTAACACATGGTTAATTCAAGGTGGATTATGAACAGATGATGATGGTGGGGGAAGGGGGAAGACATACAGTTAACTCTCTCCTAACCAGACAGATCATACACCTCCCTCCCAGCCCCTGCACCATTTTTCAGTCATGTTCCATCAGTGACCAAATTGGTCCAAACCAAATTGTGGTGCATGGAAGCCACACTTGTGATACAAGGCAATAAAAATCTCTCCATACACTACACATACCTTGCTATCCAGCTTAGAATATATTTGAATTCCAAATGCATAATCTGTAAACAAAAATAAAGAAGGATTAATTTTATATAAAACTGTGCAGCTAGAAAATTACATACAGCTAGGAAAATTGTAAAGAGGTATAAGCTTAACCTTCCAAGAAGAATCTCATTGCTGGGCTATCTATCTAGCACCTCTCCCATGCCAAAGGTTTTCCTTTCCTTTAGATGCAAGCCAAATATGGCACTGGGAACAGCATTCATATGCAGGCTTCTTATGTTTTAAGCTTTACAGACTTCTTTCCTCCATAATATGCATACACTTCAGCAAAGAACATTGATTGACAGACATGTACAAAACAGCAACTGAAGGTGAATCACGTACAGAAAATATCAACAACTTACAGTCATTGGAAAAAGTGGTAACTTTGAGCCCACACAAAGAAAAAGACTGCTTGAAGCTGTAATAATGAATTCCTTCTGAACGACCAGCTCTGCCACGTTCCTTGGCAGCCTAAAAACAAAACAAACAAGTCATACAATTTACATTGTTTGTAATTTCATGATAGGACAGAATAACCCCGACTGGCAGTATACTTACTACAAGCATGTCATTGAAGAGGAAGATAGTTCTTGGATGAGGTTTTTCCTTCTTGTTAGGATCACGTATGATGTAGAGGGGAGTTAACATTCTGAGCTGTCTGTGAAGGGCTGCTAATGTCTAAACACAATAACAGTATGAATAAAAACAGCCAAGAGACAAGAGATTACAGTCAATAAAATAATAAGTTGATAAAAGAATATGCTAGCAGCAGCTTACTGTCCAAGGTGATTTGGTTCCCACAATTTTTTTGGCAAGCTTTTGAACAGCACTGACATGATCCTTGCCAGTCACAAATGCCTTCTGTGAAAGTAAAATAAGTTAGAAGTGTCAACTGATTCCATCAGGATAAACCTATTTTCAAATGCTTATGTATTTAGGTTAAACATTGGTACCCCAATAGGTCCCCAACAGCAGTCAAGTATGATAACATCATCGATAAAGATGTTTAAAGGACTGCCAGCCATTCAAAGTAATAACAAATTTTATGATTACAGTAAAAATTCCAAAAGAAGCCCCTCCAAATATAAGCCACCCAAACTCGTAACGCAAAAAACCCTCCGTTAAATTGCCCCTCCAAATATAAACGCCCCCCCTCCGGGGGGGGCCTTGTAATTGAAAACTGCCCTCAAATACAAAGTAAAACAAAGCAAAAATGGCAAATTTCCTTCCAACTATTTAGGATAGCCCAATCGATTTTGAAACGCAAATTTCCCTCCGTAGATAAGCGCCTCAAAAAGGGCCTTTGAAAAATATAAGCCTAGGGGCTTATTTTCAGAATTTTACAATATATACACTGTAGGTGATCTCAGTATTCAGCCACTAATCTTTATTATTATAATAAATTTAATATTGTACCTTCTTTATTCTGTTGTAGATTGCCAGAAGGCTTTCCTGAGGAAAATCTCCGCCGTTGTTAGTTCCTAATTTAAAAAAAATTTATGTCAGGTTGTTCAATGAGTAATAAATGAAAATAAATAGAAGAGCTGGGTAAACATTAATTGAAAAACCAACAACAATCGTAGAGAATGAAGTCAGGCTTGCTGCCATTCTAGGTATATACATGTACAATGAACAAATCAAAAAGCACTGAGTCAAAGATTAGCCTATATTTCAGAAATGGAGAGAAAAGAATTGCTAATTCTCTTCTGTCTGCCTTCAATACTGCATCTCATCACAACTCTTTGAATAATGACTAG